GTGTAGTATTCAGTGGCAGCTTTCCCAGAGCACTGGCAAAACTGGTTGGTAGAACACGTTTTAAGACATGAGTTTTTTTGTTGTTGAAAAAGAACAAAAACCATTAAAAACAAAAACATGAGTAGGTAGCCTCCATTAGAAAACTTTTCCAGTAGAATTTGTAAGATAGACTGCTTCTCAGACTAGTTTCTCTATCGGCAAAGCACAAGAACTGTCATGTCTTGAGCTGAAAGATGGCATGGCCTTGCTTCTGTGAAACCACCCAGCGCAGCTTCTCAGGACAGCCACTGGAATTGCTGCAAACAGCAGGCCTGGATGGATGGCTACTTGGCAGTTTCTCAAAATGAAGAGTTGTCTTTGGAAAATTTCAACAGCAGAAACAACATAAGAGTCTGAACACTAGCTTCAAAAACGTTAACTGATCTACAGAATTTTTCTCTTAAAATTCAACGTTATCTGAAAAGGCTTACACTAGGCTAAAATGCCAAGGTCAAATAAAAGGAATCAATCCCTTAATGAAGGAAGACACCCTCTTCCAGCAAAGGGGCAAAACCTCCCTGCCCCAAGGGTCTGTGTATGAAAGTCCTTCCAGTTCACCTCAAAGTTCACAAGGGCTATTTGTCTCTGAACTGCCAGCTGGGTTTATATCTGCAAACTCCAACATTCTGAAAGGGAAGCAACATCATCTTCACTCTAAACAACTAGCCCACATTAGTTTCAGACCCACCCAACAGTCCCTAAAGCATTACAGCAGAGAATGTGAGGGTTAGGAGTTTTATGCTAAGAGCCAGAAAACTGAGGAGAATTGGATTTTTATTATGCACAAATGTCTCCCTCCCCCCCAAAGCCGGCAGTGTAACTAAATTAAAAGGAGACTCTTTCCCCAATTTCCCAGAGAGAGGTAAGTGGCAGATCGATGTACAGCTCAAGAAGGGGAATTTAAAAACAGTAAGCGCCTCTCCTTTCAAAAAATGGAGAGAAGCCACTTTACATTTTGTCAGACAAAACCCTGTCCACAGGAGGCCGTTTTCCACAAGGAACTTGCAAAGGTGTCAGAGAGGCGCCAGTTGGGAGGAGATAAAGGGCCATTTGGGCACAAACCCCCCCTCTGACCCAAGCTTTTTTCTAAAGTGTCTCCTTTTCAACAGGGAAGCCTTTTAAAACTACATTTGCTTTGCATCCCTACCTGAATGACAATGTGTCGATCCGATTTCACCTTTTGTCAAGGACAGGGTGAGAAACAGTAAAACTGCTGTCAGTATCTCAGAAATAGCAAGTCTTTAGCTTACGGGAAGGGGGAGGGTGCTACCCCTAGTGCAGCCCTAGAGATGGGGTGAAGGTGGCAAAGCCTGCCTAATCTTAAAAGCAAACCCCCAAATTGCAAGACATGAAATCTCTTTTGATAAAAGAGGAGCCTCTGTGGGGAAACACAATTCTGTTTGTGTCTGAATTAACACATTCACCAATGCAAAGCAAATCTGGAAGTCTTTCATCTGCTGCAAAAGTAGGTTCACTCCTAAGAGGTCAGCAAGTCAGCAATCAGGAAATGCATATGGAAAAATTAAATCTGCACCTAGACTGGAGCTGATTTAAAGCGAAACAAATGACTACCTTAAAAGAGTAGCTATTATTATGCAAATGAAGAAAATCCCACTCTTACAGCACTTAGGGGCCAGGTTTCTGCAAATAAATGTAAAATTACCCGTCGGCAAACCAACCTCCCCTCAGATTCCCCAGGTCGGGAGGGAAAGTATCAACAGGGGTAGAAGATGCCTGAAACTTGCTTCAGAAAAACTGTAACCTCTTGGGAGGCTGGGGTAGGAGTAGGGTTTTAAAAACAGAAAGCCATCAGAAACCTGAATCCCAAAGTGACTCAAAACACCTCGTCCCGTAGGAGGTGGTCAGCCTAGGTTAGAAATCAGAAACCTATTGAGACCACATTTCTGGAAGGCACAGAATTAGGAGAACCTGGTTATTTTGTGTCAGGATGTTACAGCACAGGTTTGAGACTCGGAATGTCATCTCGGCTCCTAATTGAGTGGGCCTTCTCCACCAAGAAGAACAAAATAACGGCGCGATAGGATCTCCAGGTGGCTGCTGTCTAGCAATTTTTAACCACTGTGGGTTATTAGAAGAATCCTCAAGATTCCTTACCAGCCTAGGGCAATTTTTCCACACACCCCCTTTTTCTACCCTGGGGAGGACTGACACTGTAAACAAGTGGGACAATGGGAAACCAGTTCACCTGGCACCCCTCTTATTCCCCGCAAGGACACACACAAACCAAAAATAACCGCGGACAGCACACGACTGAGGGCCGCAGGAGCGGAAAGCAACAAAAAGAGTCCCCCAGAGGGACCCAGACCAGGGATCTGCCAGGCCAGCCCCTCCCCCAGACGGCAGAGAGCGGAGCAGGAGCGGGACCCCGCCGCCCAAAGGCCCCGGCAACGCTGCTACCCGCCCCCCCCCAACGCGCCCACCCGCGCGCCTCGGCCTCGAGGACACTAGGAGGTGGTCAAGAGGGCAGGGGGTGGGGGGAGCATAGAAAATCGCCGGAGCCTAGCTGGACAGGTTGCTTCGGGATTGGGACACAAAGAGGGAAGGGGAGTTTGTAGGAGTGATCGGTAAAACAAGTCTGCGGAGGAAATGTGTGCAAACCCGGGAAGGAGGTGCGAGGAGGCTGGAGACCGGGGCTCAGCAGAGGGGCGCTGTGCTGGGGAAAGTGGGTGCGGGGCAGAGGGCAGGAGGGGTCGTCGAGGAGGGCAGGGGAGGATGACTTCAGGGGAGAACTGGATGTGCAGAAGGCATGGGGTCCCGAGCACCTCGGGCTCTGCAGGCAAGGGCGGTCGCTGCACCGCGGAGGGGCTCAGCGCAGAGGGCAAAGGCGGGGCGGCCCGAGGGGTTCCTTACCTGCATAGTCACGACCCCCAGCTCCTCGGCCGCCAGCCTCTTCATCTGGCTCGCCAGCACTTGCGCCTCGTCCAGGATGGAGAAGTCGGCGTGGGCCACAGCGCCCAGGAGCCAACACGCCACCAGGCAGAGCAGCCCGAGCGGCGGCCGCGGAGCCCGGGGCCAGCCAGGGCAGCCGGGACTGCGGCGGGACAGGGCGGCCGGCGCCGCTGGTTCCGTTTCCTCCGACTCGCGGGCCATGCTGCGTCCCGCCAGTCCCCGCCGACAGGCTCCAAGCGCCGGGCAGCCAGGAGCGCGCGGGAAGGTGCGCCCCGGGCCCGCTCGCAGCACCCCGCCAAACTTTGGTCCTCCGGCTCCGCGGCGGCGGCAAGCAAACTTTAGGGGGCGCCGGGCTGCAGCGTCGGCGGGCCGGCGGCCACCATCGCGGGCGGCGGGCAGGACCGGAGCTCTCCCGGGCTCCCCGGGATCTCCGCGCGCACCGCCCCGGGGCAGGAGGCTCCGAGACCGCGGCACCCGCAGGCCCGGGCTGAGAACGGACGGACGGAGCAGCGAGCGGCGCTTTCGCTTCCCCGAGTCTCAGCGCGGCCGGGGCGAGGGCGGCGACGCCACCGATGGAGGAGCGGCGGGCTGCTGGGGCAGGCACCCGGCGGCCACGGAGAGGGAGGCTTAAAAAACCCAAGTGAAAGAAAGGAAAGAAAAGAAAGCGGCGAGGGGAAGGGAGGTGTCTAGTGCCACCACGCTGTGCTCCGGCTCCGTGCACTTCCCGGCCCCGCCACCGCGGCTGCGGTGATTTATGGAAGGAGAGGGGGGCGGGGAAAGTCCCTCGCTTGCCCCTCCTCTCGCTGCCCGGCTCCCGCCTCGCGACGCCCCCAGGACCAGCCTGGCTTCGCCGACCTGCCTGGCCTGGGAGGGGAACCTCTGGGACCTCCTGGTGGTCCCGCAGCCCCCCGCCCCTCTCCCCGCCGCGGTTCACAGGAGGGATCCCGGCTCCCACGCGTTCCAGGTCCCACCCACCCAAAGTCCCTTTTAAGTTTTAGGACTCTAGCTTTCAGCCTGGCAGAGATTTGGGGGAGGAGGCGACTGGCGTTTGAGCGTCACCTCCCTTTCCTCCCTGTTTTAACTAACAATAGCTCGCCCTCGTGGGAGCTGCGGACTTGCTTTGTAAACCAGTCCCTGTGTGCCCGGCACTGTACTCTGGGGTCTACATCCAGTGCAGGTCATACATTAGCCTTTAATCCCAGGACATCCCCAGAAAGTCGGTATCGTGATCCCGAATTTTTAGATAACAAAGACTGAGGCTTAGGGAGGTGCAGCAAATAGCTGAAGGTCACCCAGGGGTAAGCTGCAGACCCAGAATTTAAGCACAAGCCTGACTCCAAGATCTTTGCTCTGAACTTCCACGACGTTCCTTCTGTCTCTCTCTGGAAAACCATCGCATTCCATCACAAACAAAAAGGAAAACAAAACAGAAGCCGAGTCCATAACACACACCTGTTCTCCCAGCATGGGAGGGCAGGGTTAACCTTCCTGTTGCTGCTGAATCCTGGCTCAAACTCTCCCAGAAGCCACCCTATGGAAGCACTTGGAACAAGAGGGAGGCGTTGTGTATGCTGGAGTGTGTAAGGCAGCTATTCTCTGTCCCGCGGGCTATGAATTTGCCTCTGCTAGATTCCTGGAACACACATGTTAAGGGACTTGCCCAGGACTACCTACCAAAGACTAGCAGAAGTAGAACGCTATTTAGTGCTTTTTCTCCTGTCAGTGACCGGTTTCCATTTTCTCTCTTTGATTATATTGTATTAAGAACTCAGCTTCTGCCAGGAGGAGAAGGCTCAGTGAGAAAGGTGCATGCCAGGTAGGTACAAGCGTGAGAACTGAGTTCAGATCTCCAACACTTAAGTGGAAGTCAGGCATGGTGACTTTCCTCCATAACTAGGGATGGGGTAAGAGGAAGGCAGAGGTAGGTGGATCCAGTATAATCAAGCAATCACTGAGCTCTGGGCTCAGTGAGAGATCCTGTCACACACACACAAAGTAATAATAATGTGGAGACTGGTTGAGGATTACACGGAAAGGTCAACTTCTGACCTCTACAGGCGCATTCTCTCTCTCTCTCTCTCTCTCTCTCTGAGAGAGAGAGAGAGAGAGAGAGAAGTAAGGGGGGGTGCAGTTATGGGGGATCAAATTACATTGCTGAAATTCACAAAAATTCAATAAAGATGAATTAAAAAGAATGCAGTAGTAAATTATTTATAAGTGAGGATATATTATGATTAAGATAGGTTGTAT